CCTGCTTAGCACGCAGCCCTTCATCGAGGAACACGCAGAGAAGAAGATCAGACGGGGGGAGAATAGGGAATATTACGAGATTGATCGCAATTGCAATAGTTGGCGCCTGGATGCAATAGTTTGCGCACTGGCCGCAATATTGCGCGTGGATGGAATTTAACCTATTTTTCGAAAGTGCAGTAAAATGTTGCCGCTCAATAGTGGATGCCCCCCCGCAAGTGCCGCGTGCTGTTGCGCGGAGCGGGCTGACGCGGAGCTCGGGTGGGCGCGCGCACCCTGCAGCTCTCCTCCCCTCCCTCCATCGCCCCCCGCCCCCCCCCCCACGCCTCTCCCCCGTGCCCCGTGGGCAGGCGCCCCTGGCTCACTGCTTCAGGTGACCACGCCTGAAGCCCCTGGCGACCCGCAGTGTGCCGCCTTTCGGCGCCAGCCGATGCCGTTGCTGTGCAGATGCAGCTGTTTGTCAGGCTGGCCGCGGAGGGCAACTGGGGAAACCAAAAGGTACCGACACCGCCACTCCCCAGATCTCTCCCGGGGCGCGTTCTGACCAGGAGTTCGAGGCGAATCCAGCGGTGGCGACGAAGGCCCCCCAGGAGGCCCGAAAAGGGGGAACAGGGCGAAGGGGTAGAGGTATGGGTACCTTTTCCTCCCAAGGGGCCCAAGGACACACAAACAAATACACTCAAATAAGATTTCCCCATATTTTCTGTGTGTTTGTCTTCCCCCCCTCTTCCCATATTTTCCCATATTTACTGGGGAATCGACGATTAATTGTGTCTGTGTGTTTTTTCCCCTCCTGGTTCTTGGCCCGCGGAAGACGAACACACAAACAAAACAACTGTTTATGTTGCCCGACCGAGCGCCCTGGAATACCCAGAATTCCGCTTGGGTACCCGTTCTGCCATATAGGGCCTGGCTTCCTCAGTTCGGCAGCGGGGGGCCGCATGCGATGCTGATGTTGGGAGCGCCAAGCGATGTTTCCCATGATAGCTACGAACATGTCGAGTTTGGCGCGCGGTATCGTTTTCGTGTTCCTTCGTCTTCGTTTTGGTTTCGACTTCCCTCGCTAGGTGTTCGTTCTGCCTTCGCTGCGAAACAGCATCAAAACGAAAACGGTCCACGAAATCGCCAGAACACCGTTTAGCTCGAGCCCAGGGTCAGCACAAAGCCCGGGTCGGCCAGGGCCCTGTCACGAAGCTCGGCCAGCTGCTGCACAGTGTAGCTCCAAGGCCAGTGTACGGCAGGTTCAAGACGTGCCGACTTCGGCGTTGGTTCCTGACACCTCGCTGGATCGTTCAACCTTGAACGATCGGCCGTGAACCGAAACGTCAGATCGTTCAACATCAACCGATTCTGGGTCACCGGCGGCACTCAACGTTGAATGCGGGCGGCGGGTTTGCTGGCTGAAAGGGGAGAAGCCGCCCCACGTGGATCCCAAGGCCGCGTGAGCCACAGGCAATTCGCTGACCTCTTCTCTCAGGTTGACCTCCACCCCGATTGTTTTCAGGCAACAACTCGGCTCTCATCGCCGTCGTCGTCGTCGTCGTCGTCGTCGTCGTCGTCGTCGTCGTCGTCGTCGTCGTCGTCGTCGTCATCGTTCTCTTCGTCGTCGTCGTCGTTGTCGTCGTCGTCCTCGTCCTCGTCGTCGTCGTCGCCGCCGCCGCCGCCGTCGTCGTCGTCATGGTCGCCGCCGTCGCCGCCGTCGTCGTCGTCGTCGTCGTCGTCGTTGTCGTCGTCGTCGTTGTCGTCGTCGTCGTCGTCGTCGTCGTCGCCGTCGACGTCCTCGTCGTCGTCCTCGTGCTCTCGCCGCTCCTGCGGCCCCCGCCGCTCCCGAAGCGGCGCGGCCGCCGCGGCCGCCGGCGCCGCTGCGGCGGCCGCCGTCGCCGCGGGCGCTGGTGTCGCGGGCGTTGGCGCCGCGGGCGCCGGCGCCGCGGGCGCTGGCGTTGCGGGCGCAGGCGCCGTCGCCGCTGCGGCCGCGCCGCGCTGCGGCGCCAGCGCGGGCAGTGGCCGCGCCCGCAGCGCCGCCGACTCCTCGCCCGCGCCATCTGCCGACGCCGCTGGCGCTCTCGTTGTCGGCGCTCTCGCTGCCGCCGCCGCTGCCGCCGCCGCTGCCGCCGCCACTGTTTGCCACTGCCGCTGTCTGCCGCTGCCGCCGCCGCTGTTTGCCGCTGCCGCTGCCGCCACTGCCGCCGCTGCCGCTCCCTCCTCGCCGGGCGCGGCCTGCCGGTGCCAATGCCACCGCTGCTGCCAGTCGCCGGCGGCGCTCTCTCTGCGTGCTGCTGCTGCTGCTGCTGCTGCCGCTGCTCTTGGCAAGATCAATCAGCATCGAATCGGTGAGTCGGCTCCAATCGGAACGTGCATCGGCTCGGGATACATCGGCACGGGGTCCAACTCGGATCGGATCGGCTGCGCCAGGATGCACAACGACCCCATGTAAGCGTCGGGTCGCATCGGATCAGTGAGACATTGAAATCGAATCGGATCGAGCTGGCGGTGCTCTTGCTGCATGCTGCTGCTGTTGCTGCTGCTCCTGGTGGTGGAGGACAGACAGACTAGCACCCTCTGTCGGGCAGGAACCTGGCCCAGCGCGCGGAACTGAGGTGGAGGTACCGCGGTGCCTCAATATACCATGCTCTCCTCGCGAATGCCAATTCTAGACGGCCCCATGCACCTGCGTCAGCAGCGCGATCCAGCCATCTGGGCGGATCTCTTGGATCGGCGCTGGACCCGCCGCCCTGGTGCGCGGAGTGTGCCATGGGCGGCGCTGGATGCGCCGCCAGGGGGGTCCCAACGCCGATCCAAGGAACCCGCGCGGAGCTCGGACAGTTTACATTTACATAGTTTTGACCTCCTCGGGATTACTTCGCAGCGCGAGGAAGTCTGGTAAGGCCCTCGGGTTGCGCACAGACAGCCCCCCCAGGCAGCCTGGGCTGGCCTCAACAGGCCTCCCGAATAGTGCGGTGCGGTGTCAACACTACAGCCCTAAGGCGCGGAACGCTCAAGGGGCGCCGCCGGAAGTGGCGCCAGGGTGTTGAGATCGCCCTGGACTGCTCTGGGGAACTGTTGAAACCAGCCGAGACTACCTGGGGAGACGCTGCCTCTGCGCAGCCCGAGGCTTTACCAACTGCTCCTGCTGCTCACCGCTGCTCAACGCTGCTCCTCCGGGAAGGGAACATGCCGGTCTGCTCCGCGAGGCGCCCCGTGATCGGGGGCTGGCAAGCGCCAGGAGCGTTGTCGCTATCGCTGCCGTTGCTGCGGACGCTCTCGTCGCCACTTCTCTGCTGCTGCTCCTGCTGGTCTTGCTGCGGCAGCCGCTGCGGCTGCATCGACGCCAGCAGGCGGGCGCATGTTTCAGCACGTGCGTAACATCTGTGCTGGTCGAGAGCGCGCCTTGGGGAGCTGGGAATCTCACAAGGGCGTGAACGGTTTAGCGCGCTTCCTCTTCCAAGGTCCCCTTCTTCCCCTCGGGGGGGGGGGGGCTGTACCCCTCCCCCATAACCCCTTGCCCCCGCGGCCCCCTGGACCCAGACGGGGCACCCCGCGACCGATTGGAGCGTCCAAAATGGCCCATGATGGCTCCAAGAAGGCCTCAGCGAACCCAAGATGGCCTCCAAGACGGCTCAAGATGGCTCAACATTGCTGCAGATGGCTTCCAACATGCTCCTGGAAGCTCCAAAGCTGCCTCAAGACGGCCCCAGCAGGCCTCGGAATACCCCCAAGAGAGCCGCCCAAAGGCAAAGATCCTTCCAACACCTAAGGGAAGTACATGTTTTTTGTTATCTCGCCTTTTCGTTTTCGATGGCCTTCCGAAGCCTCAAGGCGGCTACAAGATGGCCCTAAGAGGGCAACAAGAGAAGCCCAAAAAGGCCAAGACAGCCCCCAAAGCGCCCAAGAGCGTCCCAAAAACGCTACAACGGGTCCCCAAGATGCCATTCTAGAGGGCCGCGAAGGGGGGCACTAATTAGGGACCCTCTGTTTGTTATTCGCGCCGAGCTCAGAAATTCAAGCACCGTTCTTAGCCACCCGAGCGCAGTCAGGACAGCGCAGAGCCAAACATACTTTTCACCAGCACGACACTGGCCCCACAGCGAAATCCAACCTCTACCCTGGGCCTCACAGCAGGGTGGGAATATAAACGGGCGGGCAGGGTTGAGCCAAGACCCGACGCGAGAGGTGGCAGTCGACCTTATTATCAGGGACTTTGTGTTTATTACTCGCGCCGAGCTGAGAACTTCAAGCATGGTTCCTAGCCACCCGAGCGCAGTCAGGACAGCGCAAGGCCATACATACGATTCACCAGCACGACGCTAGCCCGACAGCAAAATCCAGGCTGTACCCGAATTCCCCAAATCCTATCTTAAGAGCCTAGGCGAATACATCTATAGATGTGTGTATATATATATATATATATATATAGCGATGCCACCGCACGAAGGTGCACCGCTAGCCCAAATTGCGAAATATTGAGCGAGAAGGCTGACGAATCTACTCAAAGATATTCTGGGAGAGACCAGGCCAGAAACCAAGGGAGATGTCCTGGGTCGCCCAGGCAGTGGCCAGCTCAACCCTTCTAGAAACTATGAGAGGTGCGTCATGGAGGTCCGCACGGACCATGGGCTCAAAACGCGAAGCGAGACTGGCGGCTGTGACTTCTTGTATGGAGAACAACAGCATGCGGGTCTGGAACCAACCACCAGGAGATCGAACGAGTCCTCCGTCTTCCGTCGGTCCAAGAAAATGTGCTGCGGTGCCGCCTGCTCTGGGGGCCCTCAATCGACCCCCCCCCCTTTCCCTGTGGTCTGGCCGGGCGCGCGACCGCGGGCAATAACTCTAGTCCTGAATCCCCCCAACCCTATCAGCCAGAGGCAAGCATGGGAAGAGGGGCGAGTGAAGGCGGACGAGAGAAATCGGATTGTCTGCACATCGCCGATTCGAACAGACGGCGCCCTGGCCCCCCGCCGTTTCGTCCTCGGCTCTCGAAAGGACCAACGCAAAAGGGCGACGCCATGCCAGACGTCAGCAGGCAATCTACCCTGTCAACACCAAGAAACTCCACGGACCTCATCATGACTCGCCAGTCCGCGGCCAGCGAAGCCCTGACACGTGGCCAACTCCAGAGGAGCGCGAGCGCGACGAAGAGCCTCAAGACGGTTACGTGCATGGCGATGCGATGGCTTCCAGGCTCCTGTTCCAGCCAGCCGTAGCCCACGCCCCACGCACTCCCGATGGAAAGTCGAAGCTCCCCGTGGACCCCCGAGGATGCATGGATCGTCTCGGGCAGCTTGTAGAAGGCGGCCCCCGAGCGCCACAGGAAGCGGCCGTACTCCTCCAGCCGCATGTTGATCAGGAACACGTCGGGCCCCCTCGCGCCCGGGAGGTCGGCCAGGCGGCGGCCGCGCCCCTGGGGCCAGCCGTCGAGCCGCTGCAGGCAGACGCACCTCCGCCCGCGGGCCGGGGGCGGGCTGAGGCCCACCCGCGGGCGGCTCGGGGCCCAGCCCGCAAGTCCGCAAGGGCCCCGCCCCCTGCCAACGCGGAGGCCGACGCGCCACCTGGCCCGCCAGCGGGAGAAGGGGGCCATTCGTCAGCGACCCTGAAGGCGAAGAGCATCGCCACGCGCGCCACGAGGCCCGCGCGCCAGCCCTCCCCAGGGAAGCCGCCGAAGGTGCTTTGGTCGAAGAAAGTCCCGCGCCCGCGTCGAAGTCGCCGGGCGCGTCCTACGGCGGCCGACGCCCGAGAAGGCATTGGGGCTCTCGCAGCAGCGGGGGCGCCTTCCCGACGGCGGTGCGCCGCCGGGCCACCGGCGGAGAGGGCGCCGCGGGCGCCCGCGAGGCCGCCCCCCACGACCCTTCCAGCCAGTTCTCCGCGACGGCGGACTCCAGAAGGTTGAGGTGCGCGGGCCGCTTCCAGCGCCAGCGCCGGTTCCCCTCCCAGCGGCTGGCGAGGGGGATCTCATTCATCATCGGTTGCCCGGAGCATGATTTTGAAGCGCGCTGCTCCTCGTCGGCGAGCTGGGGCCTGCGGACAGACGCCCCGGCGATCGTTGCCGCGACCCCCGCCGCGCAGCTCGGGAAGAGGGGCGACTCCGCGCTGTCCGCCTCTACGATGAATGGGCCAATGGGTGGGCGCGGCCGCCAAGACACCAGCGGCGCGTCGCGCCCGCGTCGGCCCGCGCCTCCACGGCCGCGAAGCCCTTCTTGCAGGCGGGCCCCGACGCGCGAGATGCGAGCTAGTTCGCCGAAGTGCTGGCCCGCGCGCGCAGGCGCCGCCGGGCCGAACGCTGCCGCATCTAGGACTTCCTCGGGGCCCCGACAAGCCCCGCCACTCCAGCGAGGCCGCCGCCAGCAGCGGCGCGAGGGAGCGGGGGGCCAGGATGTTTCCGAAGCGCCTCGCGGGGTCGAGGCGGTCGAAGCCCTCGGGCCCCGCCCCGGACCGCCCCCCTGCGGAGGAGCTCGTCGGCGGGGGCTCGACCATCGGAAAAGAGGGCCGCCGTGACCAGGAGGTGAGCCAGAGGACCGCCCCCACAAGACGCTGGTCGCCGAGGTCGTGCCAGACGCTGTAGCTCAAGTCCAGAATGGGCCCGCGGAGCAGGACCAGCTTGACCGCCTCCTGGGTGGCGCTGGCCGCCCCCGATCTCTAGGAACTCGTAGAACAGGGCGGGAGGCCGCGAAAGGGTGGTGCAACCACCCAGGCTCGAAGAAGACCCCCATCGATGTGGTCCGATTCAGCGCTGGCGCCCCGCTGGCCGATCTCCAGCTTGGCCACTCTCGGCGCCGACTCGAGGCGGGAGCACCCCCCGCGCCGCCCCCCGTAGCGCCAGGTGGGCGACCAGGCCGGCAGGGGCGCGGGTGCCCCCCACAGCCCCCATCGACGGAGATGCACCCATGGCGTAGATGCTGTCATCGTACGGGGCGGAGCTGTCGGCGGCCGCCGTCGGAACGAGGATGGACGCCCATTCGAGCTCATCCTTCGCGGGCTTCGACAAACCGTAGACGGTGTCCCGCGTGTCGGCGGCCTCGGCCCTCTGCGTCCTGACCCTCGCCTCGGCCACGCCGGGCACCTCGAAAATGCGGCCCAACGCCGCCGTGGGAGGGCGGCGCGGGGCGAGGATCGCAATCCCCGAGGGCGCCAGGGGGGCCAGCAAGCGCCCGCTCGCGGCCTTCAGGTGCGCCGCCGCGAGGCTCAACGCCGAGAAGGCGAGGCGGCGCTCCAGCCGGGGTCCCGCGGTGACCAGCCCTCGCCGCGCATGTCCCTGCCTGCCATCTATCTCGGCGCCTCCAACGGCTCCTGGGCCGCCACCGTCGAGATCGACTCGGGCAGCCCCTCTTGGGCGTAGGCCTGGCGGGCGGCGGCCAGCGGGGCCGCGGCCGCCCCAGCTCCAGGCGCGCGCGCCCCGCGCGGGACATCGCTCCACCACAAAGTTGCCGTCGACGCGGAACCCCTGCACCGCGGTGCCCTCGGGGGTGGGCTCCATCCCGCGGATCGTCTCTAAGCCGGCGAAGCCGC